ATGCGACACTACGCATTAAGGAGTCTTTGCTTTTAATGTTTGTTGACACATTAACTATTATATTTCTGTGTTAAAGGGCAAATACTTAATGCCGTGTTTATTTTTGTAAAAATATGCAGAGTTTCAATGAAAAACCTGCCATGCTGCTAGAACGCAACTATGTTGCTTCTACTATCAGTATTTAAAGTAGACTGTTCTTTCCTTTATACCGGGGTGGCCAAACTGCGGCTCGGGAGCCACATGTGGCTCTTTCACACCTATTGTGCACCTCCTGGCAGGGCAGCTGGGGAAGCGAAGGGGAGCCATGCTTTCCCTCCCTCCCACCTATTTGCTTTCTTTGTTTCTCTCTCTCCCTCTTTCTTTCCACCTCTTTCCTTCTTTCTTTTCACCTCTCTCTCTTTCTCTCTTAGACAAATAAATATCATTAGCAAATAAATATCGTTATCAATATCTGTTTTTACCCCTTTTGTTTTTATTTTTGGCAGTCTCATTTAATGTTAATAAAAAGCAAATGTGCATATTTTAAAAATAAAAACGTGTGTAATATCCATGTCTTGCGACTCTCAGACATCTGACATTTATTCTGTGTGGCTCTTACACTGAGCAAGTTTGGCCGCCCCTGCTTTATACCCAATCAGAAAAGGTCTCTCAGCTACTCAATCATTTTGCCATTCCAGAAAGTAAAAATACAAAACACAGCACCAAGAGACTTCTGGCCTTGTTAACTCCCTGCATTGTTATTCCCACCTGTATCTTGTTACCTGTATTAGTCATAACATTTTGTTTATTACCATATCTGATCTTGCACAAAACTAGACCTCTAATGGCTACGCCTGTCTAGAGCATCGGAACAGATGGGGATTTATCAGGTAAAACGCTGGCCTTCTAAACACTCTCCTGAGTCAGGATTGTACTTATACCAGAGTCCTGATCTCAGCAGGACAGGGCGGGGGTGGACATAACACCCAAGCTCTGTGATAAGTTCTTATCTCTCACTTCATTCTGGACGGCACTTTTTAGATCATAATACTCTAGCTCCATGTTCTATAAATGTGATGCAGGCCCTTTGAACACTAATGGCGCTACTCTAATATTATTAATCTGAAACATCATTAACATTATTAATCTGAAACAATTATTAATCTGAAAAAGTGCTCTTGACAGCTGAAACGATCATTCAATTGGATCCTATGAACAGTGAGCATTCTTGCATTTACAATTCTCTCTCATCTCCCAACAGCCTGACGCCTCTCAGGTGCTCAGTCATAGAGTCACAGAAGCACTGTGAATGAAATTCAGTAGGGCGGGAGGGGCGCTGCTGTGAAAATGGGTATCTGGCAACAGTGCTCCCCCTTTTGAAACTAAACCCTGAAAAGACAGAAGCAGTGCTGGTTGGGAAGGCAGAGGTCTTGAAGGACATTACACTCCACACTTTTGATGGGTTCATCTGACCTTTGCAGACTCAGTTAAGACCTTGGGGTTATAATGGACCCAACATTATTGCTGGAAAAGCAACTTAATGCAGCTGTAAGCAAAAAAAGGCTTTCTTCCAACTCAGCCTAGTTGAAAAACCAGCCACTTACCTTGATATGGCCACCTGGATCCATGCCACGGTGACATCGAGACTAGACTACTGTACACTGATCTCTCCTCAAAATCAATTTGGGAACTCCAGTTGGTGCAGAATGTGGCAGCTAGACTGTTATCGGTTGATAGATGGAGCATGCATATTACTCCCATTCTGCAGTCACTCACACTGGCTGCCTATCTGCCACTGGGCTCAATTTAAAGTATTGGCTAATTACATGCAAATTCCTTGGACCCTCATATCTGCAAGACCGTCTCCCTCCTCCATGCTCCACATCGGCTTCACTCATCTGAGCAGGGCCTTCTGCAGGTACCAACCTGCCAATGCACTAAAACAACCACTGCCCACACTGGTGCCTTCTATGTTGTGGCCCCCCACCTTGTGCAATGGTAGGCCTAAGGAGGTCAGGAAGGCTCCCACTCCTGGCTTTGCACAAACTCAGCCAAACTCAATCATTCATCAACAGGGCTTTTCTGTGTAGATAATATGGTAGAGAAGAAGAGATGAGATTTATACCCCACCCTTCACTATCTGAAGGAGTCTCAGAGCAGCTTACGATCCCCTTCCCTTCCCCTCCCCACAACAGATACCCTGTGAGGTAGGTGGGGCTGAGAGAGCTCTTTTGAGAACTGGTCTTGACAGAACAGCTCTGAATGACCTTGCAACTGACCCAAGGTCACACCAGCAGCTGCATGTGGAAGAGTGGGGAATCAAACCCGGTTCTCGCAGATTAGAGTCCACACTCTTAACCACTACACCAAACTGGTACCCACTATGCAAAATATATCAATTATTAGGGATTGTGGTTTATACTACTGTGCAGTTTTATACGAGGTTTTTTTGATTGCCAGATAAATTTCCCTAATATTTTATTTAAATCCTTGAAATATTTATAAGTCTTTATTATTGGCAAATTCTGGGCTAAAAATAAAAATCTCGGTAAGATATTCATCTTAACTGTGGCTATCCTTCCTAGCAACGATAGATGTAGCTTCTCCCAACGACTTAGATCTTCTTTAATCTCTTTTAACAATTTCATATAATTATTTTCAAATAATGTAGATGTACAATCTGTAATCCAAATTCCTAAGTATTTCACTTTTTGAACTACTTCCATCTTCGTAATTTCTTTAATCTTTTGTATCAAACTGTTCCCACAATTTTTCACTATTATTTTAGTTTTTTGGAAGCTTATCTTTAAGCCGGCTACTCTACCAAATTCCTGTATGTCCTCTATTAAGTATTTCAAGGACTTGTCTGGTTCTTCTGTTACAAAAATTAGATCGTCTGCGAAGGCCTGGAGTTTAAATGTTTCCCCCTTTACTTTTAGTCCTCTTATGAGTTCATTATCCCTAATCCTGTCAGTTAATGCTTCTAGAGTAAAAATAAATAATAAGGGAGACAATGGGCAGCCCTGCCTAGTGCCTTTCTGTATGGGGATATTGTTTGTAAGTTCTCCATTAACTATAATTTTGGCATGTTGTGTTGTATATATAGTTTGAAGCATAGAGAAAAAACTTTCTCCACAGTCCCACAGTCCTATTCCATTGTTTAATGAATGTCCCATCCTGTTGATTGTACTGAGTCACTCTGTGCAATCCGCCTTGAGTCCCAGTAAGAAATGCAGACTATAAATAATAAAAAACTCACTTTATCTATACAAGGTTTCACTCCAATCATGATAGATTCTCCAAAAATTCTTCCATCTTTGCTCAAGGCTTTCCGGGCCTGCAATTTTGACTGGTAATGGATATGCATCCAGTTTCCCGTGTTAGACATCTGTACAGAATGAGAAACAGTTATTAGGGGCCAAAATTAACAGAGCAGGTGATTTAAAAAAAAAAACCCAAGCCACAACTTTATACTCACCACATGCTTCAATATGTTTCCATACTGTGCAAACTGTAGCAGGATATATGAAGCAGATCCTTGAGGAAACCTGAAACAGTAATGTGAAAAACCTCACATTACTGTTTAAGTATCAAGAAATAAAATTTAAAACCCTCAATATTAAATTTAACTATGCCCTTGGCAATGTTCCCAGAAACACAGATGCAAGCTCCAGCCAGTCTTCAAATACCGTCACAATCACAGCTTAGACCAGTCTTGTTACCAATCCAACATCCTTACATTTTAGCCTCAACATTACAAGATAAACATCTCCGTTAAAGAATATTTGAGCAGATGGGAGGCGTTCAGACCCACACACAAAATATAGTACTGTCTATAGTCCGGTACACACAATTAGGCACTGTACAAGTGGGGAACCTGCAAACGCTCGTTTTCCCCTTCCCTGAAAGCCTCTTCCCTTTTCCGACTTCTTTCTCTCCTTTCCACCCACCAGCCAACCTATCCTGATCTGCTCCTATCTTCAGCTTTCCCACCTTCCTTCACCTTGGCAGCTTCTACATAGGAAAACTGTGACTGTTACGCAGTGCTGGCCCCTGGGCTGGGCCTAGTTGTGCAATGGGGAACCCACAAGTACTTGCATTTCCCTCAGAGCCAGTTTGGTGCAGTGGTTAAGTGTGCGGACTCTAAACTGGGAGGACCAGGTCTGATTCCCCACTCCTCCACTTGCAGCTGCTGGATGACCTTGGGCAAGCCATAGTTCTGACAAGAGCTGTCCTTGAAAGGGCAGTTCTGGAAAGAGCTCCCTCAGCCCCACCTAGCTCACAGGGTGTCTGTTGGGGGGAGGGGAAAAGGAGTTTGTAAGCCGCTCTGAGACTCTGAGTGAAGGGCAGGGTATAAATCCCATCTCTTCTTCTTCACATTACTTGTATTTCCTTCCTCTTGGTAACCCTCATATCCTAACCTTTCCCTGCTTCCTTCTCTTCTTTTCTCATACGCACTAGCCTACCCCTAATCTGCTCCCCATTGTCAACTATATTACTTGTTTACTTCATTTACACCCTCCCTTTCCCAACAATGGGATCCATGTTTAAGCCATACAGCTTTTCCAACTTGGGAAAAGAAAGTTCAGCCATGGTGGTTGTCTCCCTTGAGGGCTTTAAGCATCTCCATTGTAACTAACAGTAACATCACTCCAAGCAACCAGCTAACTCCCAATGCTGCTTACTTAAACCCCCAACAGACCCAAATTAATGTCTACCAGGTAGAATGTAGTATATTTTAATTGGCTAGCAAGCATAACTTGTAGACAATCATAGCTCCTAAGACAGCCCTTATAAGGTACATAATAGGAAAGAACTTATTTTCCAGACTCATATACAAATGGCTAGTGATTAGACCAGAAGAGAAATTCTAGATTACTCTCATGGGCATTAGAAACAGAAAATTAAATATTCACATATCAGAAAAGAGGTTTTAAACAAAGAAAGGGAAGACTTTCATAGTAGGGGGCTTAGCTTCAGAACTTATGGCAACCCTATGAATCAATGATCTCCAGAACGTCTTACTAACAGCCTTGTTCAGGTCTTGCAAACTGAGAACCGTGGCTGCCTTGAATGAGTCAACCCATTTCATGTTGGGTCTTCCTCTTTTTTCTGCTGCCTTCGACTTTTCCTAGCATTACCGTCTTTTCCAGTGAGTCTTGTCTTCTCATAATGTGAACTAAGTATGATAGCCTCAGTTTGGTCATTTTAGCTTCTAGGGAGAGTTCAGGCTTGATTTGGTCTAGGACTCACTTATTTATCTTTTTGGTGGTCCACAGTATCCAGAAAGCTCACCTCCAGCACATTTCAAATGAATCAATTTTCTTCATTGTCCAACTTCCATACACATTCATAGTAATGGGGAACACTATCTTGATCTTTGTCACCAGCAACACAACCTTACACTTCAGGATCTGTTCTAGCTCCTTCATGGCTGCCCTTCCCAGTCTCAATCTCCTTCTGATTTCTCGGTTGCAGTCTCTCTTTCGGTTGATGATGGAGCCAAGGAACAGAAAATCTTGAACAATTTCTTCATCGTCAGTCTTAAAGTTGTGTAATTTTCCTGTAGTGGTTACTTTTGTCTTTTTTGATGTTCAGTAATCCTGCTTTGGCACTTTCTGTTTTAACCTTTGTCAGTAGTCATTTCAAGTCTTGACCGTTTTCTGTCAGTAACGTGGCGTTATCTGCACATCTCAAATTGCTAATGTTCCGTACAATTTGCATTCCACCTTCACCTAAATCTAATCCAGCTCTCCTTATGATATGTCCCGCATACAGACTGAACAGATAGGGAAATAGACTACACCCTTGTCTGACACCTTTGCCAACTGGAAACCATTCTGTTTCTCCATTTCCTGTCTTAGCAGTAGCCTCTTGTCAAGAGTGTAAGTTCTGTGCCAAAATAGTCAAGTTGTTGTGGTCAGTGTTCCCTCTAAGCTAAGTTAGTGTGAGCTAGCTCACAGTTTTTTAGCCTTCGGCTCACACATTTTTGCCTTAGCTCAGGAAGGATGGCTCTGGAACAAACTAATCTATGCAGCAGCCAAATAGCTCGCTCACAAATTTAATGCCAGCCACTCACAAAGTAGAATTTTTGCTCACAAGACTCCACAGTTCTTTTAAAACCAACCATAGCTTCTTCTTTTTTACCATACTTAGAACAGCAATGAAAGAAAGCAACATACAAAAGAACTGTATGCCAAATGTATAGCTTAAGTACAATGTCACAATGTCCTGTCTACGCCTTCTTTCTTAATACTTTCATCCTGCTCCTTTGTGAAGCCTCTCTCTCACATGCACCAAAAAGTTCATTAAAGACTCATGCTTAAACACATACTCAGATCCATAGTGGCATCTCACCCACATGCATCACAGAGAACTGCTGAGGCTGCGTGCAACACCTACCCGAACACAGTTACCCAGGTGTCATCAAGATGATCCTCTGATGTTAAGGCATCCCCCTGGGTGTAGAATGGATCTAGCTGAGCTGGAGACATTGTCGTCTTCCTGGGTTGTGCAAGACTTGCTGGACTGAACACACCTGAAACGGTCAAGTTTCAAGGAGATGAACCTTTCCAAGTGACAGTAGCAGAAACTGAACTGAGCATTCTAATAGAAAACAAAAAGTAGGCACCATTGCAGCTACACTAAAACCTAGACAAGAGTGTTTGAATTAATGCTGCCAACATTTCTAAGCATCTGAAAAGTTCTGGAGCAGAAGGGCTGGAGTACTACACTGTCCCAAGGCCAGCAGTCAGCAAAAGCTGCACAAATAATGCCAAAAAATGAAATAAATTAACTCCAAACCAGAATTTTAGAGCAAGAGTCCCCAAACCAAACGAAAGATTTATTATTAATTATGAGCAACATTTTGCTGCTTAATTTCTGCCTATTTTAAGGCCCTGCTAGAATGGTCTTCTATTCTATGCACAGTTACCTGAAAACAAGGGCACTTACTCCTGAGTAAATCTGCACAGAGTTGTGCCATGAGATAAGCTGGGCCTACAACAGCTTGTAGTCAGATCCAGTAGAAAAGAGCAAAAGTTCAGTAGCACCTGACATACTAACAAAATCCGTGGCAGGATACGATCCAGTTATACTTCACTAGATTCACATACAGATGCAGTGATTTGCCTCGCTTGCCATAAACACTGCATGAAGCAAAGTATTCTTGATGAGATGTCCTACCTGTGCCAGGAGTTGTTGGCATAGATCCAGCTGCTGGACTCTGCGTTACTGAGAAGCCGGCCTGCATAAAAAGACAGAAGCTGCAATTCAAGTTGCTTTTTCAAACTCAGGAAAGAAAGAAGTTCAATACAGTAAAGAGGCATTTCTATAGTGAGTCAGACAACAACACCGATGTGAAAACATTCACGTGAACCTAAAAATTTGCTAGGAAAAAATAAGTGGAGGGCTTCCAGTTCACCTTGCTGGAAATAAGGACAAATTGTTTATTATTCAACGTCTAAACAGAAAAGGGTAGATATAGCAAGGCAACTGTGGAGCACTTGATTGCATTGCCCCCAGAGGTATATTCTGGCTAATCCAATACCCAGTTTGCATCTTCTGTCTTTTGGCAGTCATACACAGCCACAGCTGAAGTTCCATTCTTCTTGCGATATTGTGATAGATTAGTCAAGGCTTATCGCTCTCGGAGGAGAGAACACGGCAAAATAAGAGGAATACACAGTAGCCGACACACTAGATCGAGAGCACAAGGAGTGGGAATGCTTCTGGGCTTTCGTAGCTTAATATGGCAACAGTTCAGTTTATCTTTTAAATTATTTGATATGGGGTGAATTTATAGTAGGACTGTGTAAAGCTGCTGAGACCATTTTTAGCTTTGTTAGCTCTCCTGAACTTGTTGGAAGGGTAGGATACAGATGTGAAGTATCTAGGCCAGTTTTAATAGGATTGAAATATTAAAACACTATGAAGTATATTTATTATATTAGAGTGCATTTTTATCCCACCCTTCCCTCAAGTGGTTAAGACGCTGAACTGCAGGCTGTGGAAGGTCGGTAGTTCAGCAGTTCGAGACCTGAGTGTGCTGCATGACAGAGTGAGCTCCCGTCTCTAGTTCCAGCTCCTGCCAACCTAGCAGTTCGAAAGCAAGAAATTGCAAGTAGATCAATAGGTACCACTTCGGTGGGAAGGTAAGGTTTAGTCATGCCGGCCACATGACCACGGAAACGTCTTCGGACAGCGCTGGCTCTTCGGCTTTGAAAGGGAGATGAGCACCGCAACCCTAGAGTCGGACTCAACTGGCTTTCGAGCAAGGGAACCTTTACCTCCCTCCAAGGAGCTCAGGGCAGTACCCACTTTTCTCCCCTTGACCAGGGTATCCTGAAAACCTTAGAAAAACATTTATCATCCCACAACTACCACAGTATATAACTCACAGCAAGCATTCATTCAAGTTCTTAGAGAAAGCCTGATTTCAAGCCAGACTATCTGAGGGCCGAAGAAACAGCTGGGCTGCTCAGCATACAACACAGGCCTACCCCAAGAAAGGCCTACATTTAGATTAGAAGATTTTTCAACATTTTAGTTTATATGTGAAGAAGTAACGTTACGGGACTATGTGTCGCCTTTTAAAGTTATCTGGCTCAAAATGCAAATAAGGCTGAACATCCTTAACCCGTTTGAATTTTGAATCAAGGTGGGTAGCTGTGTTGGTCTGAAGCGACAGAACAAAGTTAGAGTCCAATGGCACCTTTAACAGATCAAAAGAATGACAAGCTTAGTTCCAGGTGATCATCCGTTTCGGTTCAAATGAGGGGGGAAACAACACAGGTAATAAATATGTTAGAACTGGAAACTGATGTGCCCTAATTTGTGAGAATCCCATCCAAGATGCTGTAAAATTCACCTCCATGTTTGAAAGCAGAGGGGTGGGGTCTAAAGATGGGATTCTCACAAATGCCATTTATTGTATTATCTTGGTTTCTAAAGAAGTTGCAAGCTTTGTTAGCACTTCTGCACAATCTATATGCAAGTCTACTCTGATTAAGAACAAATTATAACAAATGTTTACCTTGCTTTGTTGCCACAATGGCACTAAGGGAAGCTAACAAAATTAAAACTATTGCAGTAAGCCACAAAGTAAATGAAGGATTATGAATGAATAAATATGAATTAATGAGTGTAAACAGAATAAACTCTGAACAGCAGCAACATCAAATGAATTTATGAAGTGTTTAAAGAGCAATAAAAAAGCCATACTGGGAAAATAAGAAACAAGCCAATAATTATTTTGGCATTACAGCATTTGGTTAGATCTAAACTTCTCATGGGTCCATAGCACCATCTGAAGGTGGGGAGGGGGCACAGAAGAGAGAAGATATGGTAATTTCCCCTCTACATTCTACCCCACTTCAGACCCCATGTTATACCCTACAAGAGCCCCTCCTCCATGCCAAACTACAAACACGGCATTTCAGACAACCCAGCGGGCTACAGCAAGAACAGGGAGGCGGTGAAATCATTTTGTGATCCCACGTGCAATGAGCTTTCACTCGTCCTTCAGCTAGTGCAAGCTAAAAATGCCTAGGCTCATGAGAGAAAGGCTCATTAAAGTGGAGAAGAAGCCAGGAAAAGCATTTTTTATCCTTTTGCAGGTGTTAGATGTGACAGATACTGCCAGCTGAGGGCTCCTTAGCTAGCTCAATATATACATACTTATATTCTGTGTATGCAAGAATATTTTTAAACATGTTGATTTTAAAATGCATCCCATTACAAAAGTTTCTGTCTGAAATGCTGAAGAGCTATTATCAGAGTTCTATTAGCCTCACTCCTGGCCATTTTGTGGTTGGCTTCACCTGCCATGGCAGCCATTTGGGGGTTGTGCCCTCTACCCTCTGTCAGAATTACAAATGTGCAGGTAGGCTCAAAAAGGCTGAGGACTCACGACTTATATTATTCTCAACCACTGTTTTAGGGAAGGAAAAATGTAAAGAAAAGGAATGCTGAACAACAGCATGCTTGAAGGAAAATGGCTTTTATATTTTCCCTACCTAACCACACAGAAGACACCATTTTAAACTGATAAATCTATAAACACGATAAGTACATTTCCAGAACCTATTATTTTTTGAAAGCAAACACCTCTAGTGACACTTGAAGGTTTACCTGCAAATTTGAAAAAAAGCAAAAGAATTCATTACCAGCTGCATATTACAATGTAACTTTCCAACTTGTTTTATGGTCACTTACAGGCCTTTTTGAAGTTAAAGGTGTGGATCCAAGACCTGGGCTAGCTACTTCATCATATATACTTCTAACTGGTGGAGCACCCCCTTTATCTTTGTGTGTTGGAACTACTGGCTGTGGAGGAGATCCACCTAAGTGAAGATAGAACAATGGCATTAGAGCATCTTCGAGTCAACCCTTTATCATCCATAACATCTTCCTATACCTAGTCAAAATTTGAGTCACTTGCAAAACTACATCCTAAGAATAAAAGTCTAATGACTATAAGTTTGAATACCAGCAGATTCACATATTTTTATTCACATGTACCAAACCTTACTAATAAACAAGGCAAGGGCTTGTGAAATACACGGTAGAGAATCACCATCTTCCTTAGCCCATGTGTACAAAAATAAACTGCAACTCTCCTGTGATTACAAATCTTTCTCATATTTTTATTTAATTATTTGCTTGATTTATATCCTGCTCTCCCCGCCGAAGCAGGCTCACGGCGGCTTACAAGGCCATTTGGCAATAAAACATTAAAAACAATAAAACAATAATCATAAAAACACAATAGTATCAAAAATATAAGGTGCTATATATGGTAGGGTGGCAGGAACTGTTCTAATCAGCCGCTGTAGAGTCCGTGCTAGTTGTATGGCTGGTATTTGGCTCCTGTGTACATCATTCCTCCGTATAAGCAAGGATATTAGAACAGGCGGCCAAGGTGGGTTAAAGGGCCTGGTTTACTCAGTTAATGTTAACTCGTTTGCTCGAATGCTTGGTGGAAGAGCTCTGTCTTACAGGTGCCGGAGAATTGTGATAGTACCCGCAGGGCCCTGATGCCCTCCAGGAGTTCATTCCACCAAAGCGGTGCTGTTGCCTGGTCATGGCCAGCCTGATATCTTTGAGGCTGGGGGAGAGTGAGAAGTTTTTACTAAAAAAAGCAGTATAATGGGACAAAGTATCCCACAGCTGTATTTGGATTAGAAAACAGTACAGACATGGCCTTAATAGTCACTGCAACCAGTGTACTATAGTGCTCTGGCAAAATCTGAGGATTTCTTACTAATGTAACAGATTAGAAGGGATGAAGTATTTAGTTAAAAAGCATTCTGAAACATGCCAAGCAATCCTCCAGCTATACCTTGGTCATACTCTAATTTCTATTTTACAGGCGAAAGAACCCAGTTCTAACAGAAGATGTCACTTGCTCAGCCATCATCGATTTAATTGCTAAGCAGATTTTCAAGGGGCCTCAGAGGCTGTAAGGCAGTGTGAACTTAAATGTATTTCTAGTAGCTTAAAAGCATCCTTTATGTGGGATTCCAACACAAGATGACATATTAGTGACTTAGTAAGTGAACAGGGAGATTAACAGTACAATTCTCTACACAGTTACTCCCATGTAAGTCCATTGTAGACAAAGAGTTTAGACTGGAGTAACTCTGCACAGAACTATAGAATTAGTAATTTGCTCCTTGGATCTGTAAAATATCAGAATTTACCACTCTGTTCAGAAAACTAGGATTCATCCTTGCTCTGAATATCAACACATGACCAAAAAAATAGATTAATTCCTCTGCTGTGAATTTATGCACCACACAAGCTTATATGCTAAAGAAGCAGATTTGCATATGTACATAGTTTAACCTTCTAAATACCTGTTTTGCAAGAAGTCTTTTAAAAAAAGTAATCACAGCTAAAGTGAGAGGGTTTTTAATTTTAATTAATAAATCTGCCATCAACGTATCTAATTCTCAACATGGCCTCATCTGTAGATGCTTAAAACCAGAGAAGGGAGCTAGGAACAGACAAGACCAATCTTTCTACAAACCTAAGCCTGAGACAGAAATCTTTAAAAAATACATTAGAGAGATTAAAGCCACCCAAAATAATGCCCTGTAAGAGCTCAGCAGTCTTCGTGGGGATTGCTAGGCAACCACAACAATATTGCCAGGCTTCAAACCTTTGATTCTGTCAGTAAAAGGCACAGGGGAGGGGCCTTCCTAGGGCTATTCTGGCCTTTCAGTCTACCCCTACTTCCTTCCCTCCTGCCTGGGATAGAGAAATATCGGTGCCAGCCATGGCAGCAGCTTAGCTACTGGGTAACTTGCTTCGATGCAATCTGTGGAACTCATCTATGTGTGGAAATGGCTACAACTTGACGCGACACAACTCACCCAGACCCAATGACAGCCTTCACATTACTTTGCACAGCTTAGCTAGGCCCGGCAGTGGCCACCGCACAGCTCACCTGAGCAACTTGCTACCACACAACTTTTCCAGACGTTTCCCACAGAAAGTCTGAGGGGGAAATGGAGGAAAAGCTGAGAGCCAGTCTGGTACAGTGTTTAGAGTCCCAGACTAGAATCTTTAGAAGATCATTCCATAATACCGAGGCCATCACTGTAAAAACCTGACACTGAGCAGTGCCATTTCTCATAAGCCTCCACCAGATAACAGTTCATACCGGGAGGGACACATGAGGAAGAGGAAGCAACCAAGCACCCATTCGCCCACCTTAATTTATGAAGAGTATCCTTATATGTCAGTTTTTAGCACCTTCTGACTGTAAACTGCTTTGAAAATACAGGTGGGGAAAGCATGAACATACGACATTTGACACAAGGGTGCTAGTTGTGCCAGCATAATGGCACTTGCACTAGCATAACAGCATTTCTGCTGGCAACAGTCGCTTTCCCTGTCAATACCATCCTCCTGTTATAAACCCCCCAGGTTGTCTGTGGAGGGTTGCCTGATCTCTAGGAGAATTCCAGGGGGAGATGACTCACTGGTTTACAGTAGGTAACAGAGAAGACCTATTTTGCAAGCTTCGCTCTGTTGAAGTATTCTGAATCCATCTCATAATACAGATACAAGACAGTTCACTTTGCTTGTTAACGCTATCTGCTATCTCTGCTGAAGGAATATAAGACAGTGTCTGCCATTTTCTAGAAAGGAGAAACGGATAAATGATCATAGTTCCTAATGGCCAAAATGCACACAACATTTAAACAGAAAAATGACTACACAGGTAACTTTCTGTCCAAACGATAAAGTACAAATTTGTTTTATTGATAGATGGGGGCAAGTTAAAACAGCAACTTTCCAGCAGTCTCCCAGTCTGTGAAGCACTGCTGAACGTAACAAGAGTATGGTTCATCCCCACATTCAAAACTGGATAAATGCAATACACGTCACCATATTAGTCCCACAGCCCTACACTAAGGGAAGATCAGGACTACTCAAAAGTTTTGGCCTGAGCAGACGCTCTCCCTATAATGGAAGTTTCAATTTAGAACTGTCTTACCAGCAAGCAAAGGAGATCTCATTTCCATTATCCCAGCTGAAGATCGAGGCTGTGGTGTCACTGGAGTTGGTAAGTCACCCATCAAAAATCCCGGAAGGAATTGAGCACCAGCACTTGGCTTTGGAGAAGTAGGCGAACCAAGCGTCATTGGCTCAGCACCTATGGTGGAAAACATCATTTGTGAGAATAACCTTAACGAATCCACTCAAGGCAGCTGGAGAGTAGTCTTTCCAAGGGTTGCATGTGCACCACTTCAGTATTCAGAGGCTAACAATGCATCCTAGAACATTTATCATGCAACAGCGTTCCCTCTAAGCTGACTTAGTGTGAGCTAGCTCACAGTTTTTTAGCCTCCGTCTCACACATTTTTGTCTTAGCTCAGGAAGGATGGCTCCAGAGGAAACTAATTTATGCAGCAGCCAAACCACTCGCTCATAACTTTAATGCCAGTAGCTCACAAAGTAGAATTTTTCCTCACAAGACTCCACAGCTTAGAGGGAGCAACCCTATGCAGAGTTACTGTAGCGTAGCTCAGTGAACTTTGACTGATGAAAGTCTGCACACAACCACACTGTTAGCTTCCTGACTTGTATCCATATGAAATCAGTGCTACAAGGGTATATGCTCCCCTTTAAAAGTGAGAAGCACCATGTAACTGAAGCTACCCCATCATATACCAACCATTTGAGCTTGAAGACTCAGACAAGTTCATGTCTGATGTTGGACGGCCAGTCGGACTCTGGTCCCGATGACCTTTCTCGTGTGTTACAAGCCGTGGCTGGTTGGCTCAGACTGAGTCGGTTGAAATTAAACCCGGCAAAGACGGAGGTCCTGGGCCTGTGTCGGATGGGCAGGGGGTTGGGGCTCCCTCTCCCGACCTTCGGTGGGGTGCCTTTGGTGCCTGTGCGGAAGGGTTAGGAGTTTGGGTGTGCTCCTGGACTCCTCGCTAATGATGGAGGCCCAGGTGGCAACCACTGCCAAGTCAGCCTTTTACCATCTACGGCTGGCTCGGCAGTTGGTCCCCTACCTCGGCCGTGAAGACCTGGCCACTGTGATCCATGCAACGGTCACCTCGAGGCTAGACTACTGTAACGCTTTCTACTTGGGGCTGCCTTTGTCGCAAATCTGGAAGCTGCAGCTAGTGCAGAATGCTGCAGCTAGGCTGTTGATGGGCCTCTCCAGGCGGGACCACATTCAGCCGGTGCTGCAAGCGCTGCACTGGCTGCCGATAGCATACCAGATTCGTTTCAAAGTGCTGGTTCTTACCTTTAAAGCCCTGAATGGCCAGGGTCCAGCTTACCTAAGGGACCGCCTCTTCCCGTATGTTCCCTCAAGAGCACTGCAATCGGGGAGTCTCCATCTCCTGGAAGTTCCGGGTCCCCGAGACATTAAGTTTGCCCAAACTTAGGCCAGGGCGCTTTCGGTGGCGGCTCCTACCTGGTGGAATGAGCTCCCGGCGGAGATCCGGGCCCTGCGGGACCTTATACAGTTCCGCAGGGCCTGCAAGACAGAGCTCTTCCGCCAGGCTTTTGAGTAGGAGCCGCCACCGCCACTATTCCACCACCGTGATACAATCCTACCATCTACCCCTATTATTGGGAGGGGGGTAGATGCCGCCCAGCGGAGATGGGGAAAATATCATTCCTGGCGCTCACACCATTAATAACATTGGCCACAAATGTGGGATATTGCACATCTTGGGGATTTTTACAGAATATTAGAACCAACTTTTATCATGTATGTAATAATGTTTTATTGTATTTCAATTTTTAATCTAGCATTGCCGCCTGTTAGCCGCCCTGAGCCATTTGGGTAGGCCGGGATATAAATCCAATAAATAAATAAATAATAACTATCAAGCTTTGTGGCTAAGCACAGAATATGCAAGATGCCCCAATGCAAGACCAGATTGCTCCTGGAGTTGGTTCCCAGTTACCCTTTTAGGCACCAGGTTAAAACTGCCAGGTTCTGCCAAGCCTTTAAACAATACCCCATCAACCTATTAATTCTGATGGCTGCTTCTCTCTCTCTCTCTCAGGTAATATGATTTTTTAAAATATGCAAGATGCCCCAATGCAAGACCAGATTGCTCCTGGAGTTGGTTCCCAGTTACCCTTTTAGGCACCTGGTTAAAACTGCCAGGTTCTGCCAAGCCTTTAAACAATACCCCATCAATCTATTAATTCTGATGGCTGCTTCTCTCTCTCAGATAATATGATTTTTAACATCTTGTGGGACTTCTATTTCCAGAAGGATAGCCATACTAACAAAATTAAACCAGAGTGCAGTAGTGCCTTGAAGTGTTAACAAAATTTACTCCAGCATCAGCTTTGAGTCAGAGCTCATTTCATCATGCACCCCTGAGCTCTGACTCAGGATAGTTTATGCTGGAATAAGTGTCAGCAGGTGCTACTGGACTAGTTTCATTCTGAGACTGTAGAAATAAGAACATGCTCTTTTTAACATTTTAACCTTCCAGGGCATTCAGTCACTGACCTAAAAATAGCAGTTCTCTTACAAAGGAATTTCAAAGGGAGATTATTTATTAATTATTATTTGATTTTTACCCCACCCTCTCCACCGAGGCAGGCTCAGGGTGACTTACACAAGAAACAATACGTAAACAACAATGTAAATATCAATATAAAATACACAAATTATTAAAATCAGTTAACAGAACGATGGCGGTATTGCTACAATAAAGTGCATTTATCGGTCCATCCATTATTGGCAGGCTCAGGCTGGGAATAGATTGACACAGGGCATAAATGATAACACAGCTCCTACCTAAATACCTGGCAAAAGAGCTCCATTTTCGTGGCCCTGCGGAACTGTGTGAGATTAAAGAGAGAAACTGATGAATTGCAATTGATAATGAAGCTCGATGCATCCACCTGGACTGAACTGAGACCTAGGTTTCCTATCTCATTTCTCCACACCTATTACCCTTCTGCATATCTCACCTAAATCCAATCACACCTGCTATCGTTATTCACCTGCTATTATCATTTGCCTGCTAATGTTATTCAGCATCTGAAACCACTCCACTTTCCAATAAATCCGACAGATGGACTCCCATTCTAGCTGTATCTAACGAAGTGAGCAGTGACTCACAAAAGCTGCCACATTTTTTGTTAGTCTTTGAGGTACAACTGGACTCTTGCCAGTTTGGTGTAGAGAGCCAGTTTGGTGTTGTGTTTAAGAGCACAGACTCTAATCTGGGAGAACCAGGTTTGATTCCCCACTCCTCCACATAGTGTGACCTTGGGTCAGTCATAAATCCTTTCAGAGATGTTCTCTTGAGGGCAGTTTTCAAGAGAGCTGTCTCAGCCCCAACTACCTCGCAGGGTGTCTCTTGTGGGGAGGGGAAAGGAGATTGTAAACCACTCTGAAACTCATTCAGGTAATGAAGGGCGGGGTATATAAATCCAATGTCTTCTCTCTCCTGCTGCTACAGACAGACTAGCAGGGCTACCCGTCTTGACCATTAAACAGCTATCTCAGTACGGTGGGAAGGCAGAGCGAACTTTTTCGGTAAGAAGAATCAACATGCTTTTCTAAGTAGCGAGGGAGGGGGAGACAGAACGGCATAAAACTTAAAAACCAAATTAACCAAGAAGCTGTCTGAACACCGGCGAGAGGGGACCTCCGCCTTCAAGGCGTACCCGAGGGTCCGAAGGCACCTTCCCGAAAAGCAACCGCGGGAACGACTCGGGAGAGCTTCAGGGGCTTCGCTTCCATTGAGGCTCACCCGCGAATGCGGACGTCGAACCCAGGAGGACTGTTTGCTAAAGGAGGCGCCCGGCCTCTCCTCTCTGCGCCCGCCCCAGCGCATTTTTCCAAAGTTCCAAGCCCGACTGACGTCACAGCCGGCGAATACCTGAGGCACTCGCTCACGGCCCCCCCCCGACAGAACACCTGGGCGCACGCGCGCGCCTTAAAACCCTCTCGCGGCGACGGCGGTTGGACGGCAGCGCCTAACGCCATAACCGCCCCGCCACCGCTGGGAAGGCAGAAGGGAAAGGCGCGGGAAGAGGGAAGCAAGTGTGCCCGCCCGCCACTGCCGACAGGAAGGGACCGCGGCGCCAAAGAAGCTCCGGGGAAGCTGAGGAGGCCACTCACCCACGGAGGGAGTCAGCGGCAGCTCCATGGTGAAGGCAGCCATACACCCCACACGCGGACAGCCTTTCCGGCCAGGCTGGACGGGGCACTTTCAAATGCAGCGGAAGCGCGACGGTCGCCCGCGGCGGGATGGCGGACGTCACTTCCTTCAGAGACGGAAGTATTTGGGGTGTCGCCATTTTGACCATAGAGATGACACGGCTAGCGCTCTTTCCTCGCGGGTTTTTTTTAAATATATATATAAGTTCTTCATGAATAAGTGAACCGGAGTCTCGCGGCGCCTGAGGAATTTTCAAAATTTTATTTGTGCATAAATCAGATTTGTTCGTCTCTAAGGTGCTGCTGCAAGACCGCCGGTTGACTTTTGCAGCGTCGCGTTGCATTTATCGCCCAAACCAGATGGCCTGGGTCCAAACTGAAACGCCACCCCCACCCTCCGACAAAAGGCGTCCTATTTTTCAATTAGGACCCAACCAAAATGCCCCCAAACAGTGTGCAAGCCTTTGAGTTCTATAGAACTGATGGTCAAGCGCGGTTGTTAGGGATGGCAGATGCCCCCAGAGGAGGAGAGAATATCCTGTAATTTAATAAAAGCTTATATACCAGCTGAAGTTTACCTGGATTCTATGAAAAGCTTCAGCTGCCGGTTTCCACAGGTTAAGTCTATGGTAAACGGGCAAGACACTTTTCTCCAGGCCTGTTGGCAACTCTATGATTATGGTCTTAACTTTTTGAAACAATTCTTTGTACTTCATTTAGAATGTAAAGGCATTACACACAAGTGGTAAAAATCCAAAGGAGGAATATGCGCATGCGCACACAGATAAATTCACCAAATGTGACTGAGAGGTATCGCACTAGAGCTGTCTTGCTGTGCAGCCGTTTGCCCCGACACAAACATGTCAATTTCACACCCGAAGCTGGGGGCTGCATTTTGTCTCGCTGCTTCGCCAGATTTCCTCCAGTTTCGTGAAACTGCGGAGGAAATCAGGCGAAGCCGGGGGTCAAATGCAGCCCCGCAGCCTCGGGTGTGAAATTGACAAATAACCTGAAAGATTTCCTTTAGAATCCATAAAAGCAATGGACCAGCAACCAGGGGTCCTTTCATAGAAAAAGAGCTAGGGGAACTCATTAGCATAACTCATTAGCATATGCCACACCCCCTGACATCACCGGAAATGTGTCATAAGGCCACACACCCCACCCCCAACGGTCCCTGCAACCTTGCAGCTCCACTGCCGAGCCCCATGAGGGGCCCAGCGGTGGACCTGCAAGGCCAGTGGGAGTGCAAGGAAGCCCCGCGAAGGCCATCCCTGGCCCCAGGCAGGCAGGGGTGGGGAGAGGCAGGGAGGAAGCAACTTACCCTCCCTCTTCTCCTGCCTCCTCCTGGCTGAATGAGGGCCGGAAGTGGGGGGGCGGAGCTTTGTCATGTGCCCCGCCCCCCATACCTCACCTGGGGGAACTGCATTCCCCCGCGTTCCCCCCGAAATGACCTCTGCCAGCAACCAAAACCCAGGAGGTGTTATTGGCAGGAGTCATTTCGTAGAAAAAGAGGTGCAGGAGCTCATTAGCATAACTTATTAGCATAACTTATCTGCATCTGCCACACCCCCTGACATCACTGGAAGTGTCAGAAGGCAACACCCATTGCTCAAGCTCCACTGGACTGTTTTGGATTGCTAGCTATGGGGGGGACGCACAGATCTGCCCTCACAGAGGAGGGAGAGCTTGTACCTGAATAAAACATGCTAGAGGTGGAATTTGCTCCTAGGACTCCAAGGCCACCACCCCGGGGCTCAGAGAGACGAGGGAACGTTTCGCACCCCTCCCCGCCGTTGCCGCTGCCGTTAACGCTGCTGCTGCCGCTGGCAGCCATAACTTTTTAAAGAGCCCCTAACAAGACCTGGGGGAGTCAGAATGACCTCTCGCTGTGATGGCCAAGTGGCAACGCCGCTCGGCCATCACACACAAGAGGTGGAATTTGCCCCTAGGACTCCAAGGCCACCACCCCGGGGCTCAGAGAGGCAGGGGAACGTTTCGCACCCCGCCCGCCCGCCGTTGCCGCCGCCGTTAACGCTGCTGCCGCCGCCAGCCATAACTTTTTAAAGAGCCGCTAACAAGATCTGGGGGAGCCAGAATGACCTCTTGGGTGATGGCCGAGTGGCAACGCCGCTCGCGAGAGGTGGAATTTGCCCCTAGGACTCCAAGGCCACCACCCCGGGGCTCAGAGAGGCTAGGGAACGTTTCACACCCGTCCCCCCTGCCACTGCCGTTAATGCTGAAATTGTTGAAATAATATAACTGCTTTTTTTTGTTTGGATTATACAGCTCTATCTCCATGGTTCTCTCCTATATTGTATTGTTGCTATTGAGAGAAATGGCTCATAGTGATTTACTTGCTCTGAGGAAGAAAAGAATAGGATTCTATCTGACATACCTCCGATGTTGGATGATCAGATTGGTTACCACCAATCTGATCATCCAACATCGGAGGTATGTCAGATAGATTGGGGCCAAATTCTATACCTGAAAAAAAGGGGATAAGAATGCATCTCCATATGATTTCTTTGTCTGAGTATGTTAGAACTAACAAAATTCCTAGAGGTCTTCATATAAATAAGCCAACTACTATGTTTAATGACAATTAAGATTTTAGAGCTAGATGAGCGGCTATTTTGAACAAGTGTTCCATAGTCCTAACCATTATTATTGTTGAACACTCTAAACAAAAAGTTGTTCAGGTCAAGGAACATGTTGAGAAAGCTGAGTCATCCCTTAAAGCTGCAGCTTCTAAGCAAACATTTGAGAATCACATTAAGGAGATGGAATTGGAATTAAGAGCTTTTGAGAACAATCTCAGAAACCTCATAATTAAAAAGTATAATAGGGATTTGAAGGACTACTCCACGGGGTGGGTATACAACTGGTGGGCGCCTATGATAAATACAAAAAATAAAGTTTCTTGCGCGAGTCCTGTACAATCTGTATCGGATACTGAGAGTTCTGAGTTTGAGGAATCAGGGTCAACCTCAGGGGAGGACTATGGATCTGAGAATAGTTTCCGCAAACGTATTACAAGGAGTAGGGCAAGGGGGTCTTTTATATTCAGGGGCTCCCAAAGGAGATGAGGCAGGAGGATTTAGTAATTAATCTCTCATCTAGGGCTCTCACCAAGATAGAATATAAGGTGATGGGTTTTGGATTGGGATTTGTACCCACACCGCACTATGTAAGACCAACCAGAATGGACACATTTAAACTGATACGACAAATTAAACTAAAGCAGCTTTTCAGTGATGAGACTCAAGATGTGGTGGGTGAACCATTCCGTAAGAAATCCTCTTTTGTACCCAATTGCACTGAAGCATCTATTGCAATATTTGAAAGGTTTATAATAAATTTGAACATTTACAAAGGACCCCCAGGCATAATTTAACTCACGAGGAATTTTCTGCCCTTAGAGGTCTTTCTGAGGAAAGACCTTTTACTGGGTGCCCCCGGGTTTTAGTATTATGGGATAGGGAGAAAGTGCCCTCTGTCCATTTTCTCCATACACAATTTTATCAACCTTTATCATGTCTCTCCTTATGTATGCTTACACAGAAGATAATCCCACTTGGTCCCACCTGTTATGTGAGGAGATAGTAAAGATTATAGGCTGCTTAGTATTTGAGGGAGGACACACTGATAAAATTTATGAATGCTATAGAATACAGCGAGATTTTTATTCTCCTAATATTAGGTCTCAGAGTAATTTGATTAAATTGATCAGCAGTAGGTTCATAAGAGACAAAATGAAGCACTCTTCTACACAATGCGTAGTTAAACAACAGAGTTCACTTCCACAGGTATGATGATGGCCAATAGCTTAGATGGCAGGACAGGTTTCTTAAGGACTATTAACTATGATAGCTAAATAGAACCTCAGCATTTAGAAGCAGTGTACCTGCACCTGAGGTAAATGCACTGAGGAATGAAAAAACAAGGGAGGCCTGTTTTCTTCATGTTCTGCTTTAGCCAATTAGGTAACAAAATGGAGATACATGGCACAGCTCCTTAAATATATTTATTAAAATATTTATTTTCAATTGAAACAATATTTCTGAAACTGCTAGCAAGCTTTATGTAATAATACAGGCTAGCAACGAAAATAATTGTACCGTGTCTCTATTTAGCTTCATAATGTCTGATTAGTGACTAGTTTGCCTGGAACACTCTGCATGGCTTTCTGGCTTACACAGACTTTAAGGGATGGGTTGCTAAGGGCAACCCTAGAATGTATTGTACAGATCCTGTGATGCTGATGTTTAAAAATAAATACACTTCTGTTTGGTCAAATTTGGCTTTTGATTCACTAAGGACCTTCTTCTGTGGCAGTGCAGAGGACTAGTTTATGCAGGGCCAGGGGGGGGAAATGTCAGAAAATTATAAATATTATTGATTCATTTCAAAAGATAAAATGAAGCCCTGACCTAGATTGCCCTGCCCAGGCAAGCCCAATCTCATCAGATCTCGGAAGCTAAGCAGGGCCGACTCTGGCAAGTACATGGATGGGAGACCTCTTACCAGAGGTAAGGGTGGGCTTCATTCAGCCACATCTCTGAATATTCTCCAGGCCTCCAGTAGGGGTCAGTCACCAGAAGTCGCCATGACTTCCAGGTGCACACACACACACACGTGCACACACATACATGCACATATTTTAAAAAGATAAAATTAAGAGATGGTTTATTTTTATAAGAATGTTTTATTATCTAGATTTTTACAATCATGAAAATTGGGTGTATACAATGTCACATGATATTAAAGGCAAATGGAATAATAGGCTGACATGTTTCTTTTCTAGCCACCTACCAGCACCTTTCTGGAGAAAAACTTAACATTTTGTTATGTTTGATCCATCTAGCAAACCAACTTCCACCCACCCCTGATATTTAATCACTTTGGTAAAAACCAACTCTGGTGACACATCATTCCTGAAGACAATGAAGGACAGCTATGAAACAATTTTGCCTCCTGCATAGATGGATATGCCTGAGCAGGTATAACTCTTATCTGGAATCCTAAACAAACTTGCATCAGTAGTAGGATTGCCAACTCCAGGTTGGGAAATTCCTGAAGATTTGGAGCAGAGTCTGGGGAGAACAAGGTTTGGGGGGGACGCACCTCAGCAGGGTATAATACCACAGAATCTGACCTTCCAGGCAGCCATTTTCTCCAGGGGAGCTGATCTCTGTCGCCTGGAGATCAGCTGTAATTCTGGGAGATCTCCAAGTTCTACCTGGCAGTTGGCAACCCTGATTCTGTAGGGGATGGTTACACGTGAGACAGCAACTACCAAACCAACCAGTCATTGCAAATCGAAGCTGATTCATTATTGTTACACCCATTACTGTGAAAATGGTTTTTTTTTAAAGAAGCAAACACAGAAGAATTAGTTGAGGGGAAATTAATCTCAAATAATGTATGAGAGCACAAAGGTTAACTCCACAATGACAGCTCGGCTTCAGGGGCTAATTCTGGGCATGTCCCATGACTCTTGCATCCAAAGGTATTGGCCGCAATCTTCCATTCCCGTGCTACCACAAAGGTTCATCCTTCCCCTTTCACCATTCAAATATCATTTAAAGTCCCGTTTGCTTTATTATTGCACTGTTGGTATTTGTGAAGCTGCTCCATAAAACCAGAATTTGGACAAATGGCCGGTCTCGCATTTTTCACCACAGAAAAGGCCTGAGAAAAACTGAGTCCTTCTGAATGCATGAGGAAGCCGATGACGATGGCTGCAGCGCGAGAGACTCCCGCATTACAGTGAACAAGCACCACACCATCCTCCGAGAGAGAGAAAAAACAGAGCATGTTTAGAAAACCATTGCAGTCAAAAACAGATTTCACAACCATTTGCTCTTCAGCTATGGGATTTTTAGGTGTGCAGTTCTGGTTACTGGTCTTTGAAAGGACATCGCAGAGCTGGGAAAAGTACAGAAGAGGACAACCAAGATGGTTAAGGGGTTGGAGCACCTTTTCCTGTGAGGAAAGGCAGAAGAGTCTGGGACTTTTCAGTTTAGAAAAGAGCCGACCAGAGGAGGGGGGCATGGTAGAGGTTTATAAAATTATGCACGGGGTAGAGAGAGTAGACAGAACTCTTTCTCCCTCTTCCAAAATACTAGAACCCAGGGGCATCCAGTGAAGTTGATGGGCAGTACATTCAGGACAGACAGAAGGAAATATGTCTTTACTCAAGGAGTGGTTAAAATGTGGAATTCACTGCCAGAGGATTTGGTGATGGACACAGGCACAGATGGGTTAAAAGGGGATTGGATAGATTCATGCAAGATGGGTCTATTGGTGGCTAGTAGCCATGGCAACTAAAGGGAACCTTCACATTCAGAGGCAGTAATCCTCTGAAAACCAGTGCCAGGAGGCAACATCAGTGAAAGGCCTCAGCTATGCCCTATTTGTTTGACCCTCGAGTAACTGGTTGGCCACTGTGTGAGACAGGATGCTGGATTAGATGAACCACCGGTCTGATCCAGCAGGGCTCTTCTTGTGTTCTTATTTTTCATGTGATCCTAAGAAGACTTTTCTAGGAGTAAGCCCAACTGAATAAAATAGGATTCAGTTCTGAGTAAACCCGCTAAGAATTGCTCCCGTAAGCACCAATCCAAGCAAGCCTTTCTAATGAAATACAAGTTTTACTTCATCAAATGCATATTACAGTTTTACACATACTTAGCTGCCTTGAGCCAGATTGACCAATAACCATGGCATATAAACACATCAAATAAATATACAAATACAGTCTAACTTACTGATGATCAAAACAGAAGACTTCTGTTTTATATTGCTTCAACAGACTAACATGACTACCCCTCTAGAATGATTACTGATAAATATATCAGGTTGGATAGCGTAGGTCTTAACAGAGTTCACTTATTTGTATTAATTTAGTCTGTGAAAGCTATAAAGATTGTATTATCACCTAGTTTTGCTGTTGTGAATGGTCATTGTGTTAACAGAAGACGACGACGATAGACTGGATTTATACCCTGCCCTTCACTACACAAAGAAGTCTCAGAGCTGCTTACAATCTTCCTTTCTCCTCCCCTCCCCACAACAGACATCCTGTGTGAGGTAGGTGGGGCTGAGAGAGCTCTTTCAAGAACTGTCCTTGAGAGAACAGCTCTGAAAGAATTTATGACTGACCCGAGGTCACACCAGCAGCTACATGTGGAGGAGTGGGGAATCAAACTCAGTTCTCCCCGATTAGAGTCTGTGCTACTAACAACTATACCAAGCTGGCTCTCTTCACCATATATGAGATTTTCATAGAAATAGTTTTGGGGGAGAGCTGTGCTGGTCTGTAGTAGATGAGCAAGATCTGAGTCCAGTAGCATCTTAAAGACCAACAAGATTTCTGTGGTATTCTGAGTCAAAGCTTCCTTTGTCAGATAACTCTCGAAAGTGTATACCCCAGAAATCTTGTTGGTCTTAAAGTGCTAGTACACTAAAATGTTGCTCTTGCATAAAACTGTTACCGCTTGCACCTATGCATTTCATGGCCTTTTGGTCCTCTGTTACATTTCCTCCCTCTATGAAAGGGTGTATAGGTCACTCCAGTCATCCTAGGAGGCTCTGCTTTGGTTTCCCCAACCACCTAAAGCTAGATGGGTGGTGAACCCGTGGGCACTCAATGAAATTGCTGAGCAGACAGGTTAGAACAAATAAAAGGAAGTACTTCTTCACCCAATGAGTGATTAACACATGGAATTCACTGCCACAGGAGGTGGTGGCAGTTACAGACAGGGACGGCTTCAAGAGGGAATTGGATAAACATATGGAGCAGAGATACATCAGTGGTTATTAGCCACAAGGTATAGATAGGAACTCTGGGGCAAGTGATGCTCTGTATTCTTGGTGCTTGGGGGAAGGGGGCAACAGTGGGAGAGCTTCTAGTGTCCTGGCCCCACTAGTGGACCTCCTGATGGCATCTGGTATTTTTGGCCACTGTGTGACAGTGTTGGACTGGATGGGCCATTGGCCTGATACAACACTGGCTTCTCTCTTATGTTCTTTTTTGGTAAACAAATTTTTATTTTCTCAGGAATACAACATGTAAAATTAAATCATTTCATTCTATCAATTGTCTACCCCATTCCCAATTCCTCCCCTCCCTCCGGTGGCTTCCCGCAATGCTTCCCCCCCTGCTCCAAATTGCTTCATATCATCAACTATATCAGTTTCTTATCATTATAGTCTAAAGATAACATCATTTGACTTAATATTGATCTAAACATATTAAATTTTGTTTCACATCCCAGTTCTTTTCCAGATATATTTTAAAGTCACTCCATTCTTGAAAAAACACGTCGTCTTCTTTGTTATTCAACTTCTTCGTAATTTTGTCCATCTCTGCCATGAACAGAACTTTTTGTATCCAGTCTTCAATTTCTGGCACTTTCTCTGTTTTCCAAAATTGTGCATAAATCATTCTCGCTGTTGATCTCTCTTATGTTCTTATGACCCAAGAAAGGACCTTCTCTACTGTGGCACCAAAATTTTGCAACTCCCTCTCCAGGGAGATTCATCTGTCCCCCTCTATCAGTGTCTTCCACCAACAGGTGAAGACTTTTTTTCCTTCATATGGCATACTCCCAATTTGGTCCTCCTCCTAGTACTGTTTGTTTATGTGTTTCTAATGGAATTTTATCATTCTAGCTGTGTTTTTAATTGTTTAAATGTTTTTATGTTTGCCGCTTTATGGACCCGGATTGGGTGGAAAGGCGGAATAAAAATGTTATAAATAAATACACACACATTAGGGATACTATTCCCCAGATGGGGGTGGCGGATCCCCTACTTTCGCAGGTTCCTGTGAAATCTCCCCCCCCCCCCGATGCCATACGTTATGTGCTGACGTCACCTGGAAGTGACGTCAGCACATTGGTGACGTTGTGGGGCGACGCTCTGCTTTTTGGACAAAACTCTATGGTTTGAGGCCGTTTTTACCACAGTTTTGCCAGAAAAGCTGAGCATCACCCTTGACATCGCCGACGTGCTGACATCACTACTGGGTGATGTCAGCTTGTTATGCAACATCCCCATCCACCCCCAGAATGCCCCCCAAATCCCCCCACTGGCATGACGAAGGGACCTGGCAACCCTAGCACACATACATATCAGCTGATGGAGGCATTGGATCATGTGGTCACTGGTACACAGAAGTTTGTTTCAGTTGCTCAAAAACCATACAGCCCATGAAAGTATATCTCCATGGATTAATCCCCTGCCCCGTTTTCAGTCTCCTCGCAGGAACTTAAACTAGGCCCTCATTTTAAAGCAAAAGGGAATTGGTTAGTTGGAGGTAAGTATCACCGATCAAGCTTACTTCCAAGAAATGGTGTGCATTACTCCAGAGTTAGCCGTTTCAGGCAGAATGCTTCAAGGAAGGAGGACAGGCCTGCACTCAAATCAGCCCCACTCCAAACCGGGAAATATTGAATGGACAGAAAGCATTTCACTGACACAAACAGAAGTTCCCAGTCCCTTGAAACTAAGGAATGGGTTTTTCTTATTGTTAAAGCCTGGCATTGAACTGCTAGCCAACGAAGAATTGGTGTGAAAATTTGTGCTATTCTGTATCAGAATGCTGAATTTCAATCCTGCCCATGAATATTTGAAGACAGAGACTGGGATCTAAAGGGGCACGTGCAATATTCTGCATGTCCTCTTCTAGCTTTCTAGCTCTGTCTTCCCACAACATCCCCTTGTGTCTCCTGAAAGCATCCCTTCAAAGTATGGGAAAACCTTCTGGAATGGTATTCTGGGGAGAATAGCAAAAAACACACACACACAAACACATATTCATGGAAGTCCCAACAAATAACTGCATGCCAACCAATTTGATAGAAACATTGCCTCAAATTAGCCTAATATGGTACTTCCTATTACTAAGCAGTTCCCATTTCTCTTAAACAATATAGCTGTCCGCAACAAATCACCTAGGATAAATCGTAGGAGAGCGTCCCCTCCAACTTAAGTCTACGTGCAGGAACTTAAAGCAGGCCTCAGCCACCTTAAGCAAAAGATGAAAGAAATCTCTGTTGCTCACGATGGGATAGCTTTTGCCAAGTGGAGCAATTAATTGCTTGAAAGAGCCAGAGGCTGTCTGGACTAGCAGACTGGCTCCAATTAACTGATAAGGACCAAGGTCACGGGAGAGAGGAAGAAACTAGGTCAGAGCCTCCCATCTGAAACCCTACCACAAAGGTAAAAGCTCGATAACCTTGTCTTCCAAATACGATTGGATCATAGCTGTTGCAGGGACTGTAAACGGTAAAAAATTTACTCAAGGGAATGGAGACCCCCATCTCCCTAAGATGTGTAAATGAAGAGTATTTGGCTGGTATAACTTCGTATTTATCCACCATCATCCAAGGCATCCTGAGAGTCATGCCCCCCCCCCATCCCCCTTTTGCTGGGCTGGTAGAGGACACTTCTGAAAGATTCACCAGCAATGCTCCCTCTAAGCTGTGGGATCTTGTGCGCAAAAATTCTACTTTGTGAGCTACTGGCATTAAAGTTGTGAGCGAGCGATTTGGCTATTGCATCAATGAGTTTGCTCTGGAGCCATCCCTTCCTGAGCTAAGACAGAAATGTGTGAGCCGGAGGCTAAAAAAACTGAGCTAGCTCACACTAACTCCGCTTAGAGGGAACACTGTTCGCCAGCTACATTGGTTTGAATCGTTGTAAACTATCTTGCCCTGACCTGGGTAGCCCAGGCTAGCCTGATCTTATCACATCTTGGAAGCTAAGCAGGGTCAGCCCTGGTTAGTACTTGGATGGGAGACCTCAAGGAATACCAGGGATGCAACACGGAGGCAGCCCATGGAAAACCAGCTCTGAACATCTCTTGCCTTGAAAACCCTGTGGGGTCCCCATAGGCCAGTTGTGACTTAGTGGCCACAACAACAAAACTATGATTTATTAGTCCAACAGCAGATCCAGGTGGGTACTCCTATTGATCTGAAGCAGTAGAACAAAGTTAAGAGTCCAGTGGCATCTTTAAGACCAACAAAGCTTGAATAAAACTTTGTTGGTCTTAAAGGTGCCACTAGACTCTAACTTTTTTCTAGTCCAAGACTAAGCATCCATCTTCGTGTATCGGTTAATATCCTCTCTTCTTCCCCTCTTCAATAATAAAAAGACGGGCTGCAAATTTCCCCTAATTTTCAGATGTAAACCTAAGCCTTTCCAAAGTTTATCTAATACCACATGGTGATATGAAAAAGTCCTCGGTTACAGATTTGTTTGCCCGACTGAGTCCATTCATAATCTTGTTTTATTAACCTGGGCTACTTTGTAACATGGGGATTTTTTGTGTGTGTGAGAGGTAAATTATCTAATGTTTCCATCTGTCTGACAAAAGCATCTTACATTATGGAGCAGTACTGTAATGAAAGCGTACAATGCACCCTTGAGGATAAAGAACTGAAAAATTAAACTTCGAAGGCACACGAGTGGCGCAAGCATTGCAAACCTAAGCAGAGTTTCACCCTATTTAGCCCACTGGTTTCACAGGGCTCAGAAGTGAGCTAACTCTGTTTAGGACTGCACTGTTAGCACAGCAAGTCTAATTTAGAAATGAAGTGGAAACTGTAACCAGAAACCTCCAGGAGGGCATTAAGTGAATGCCCGTTTCAGGTGACTTGTAAACAATATGCTGCTTTCTTCCCTTCTAAAATAGCACAGTGCGCGATGAAGCAATATGACCTTCCTTAATTCCAAACTATGTAAATAATGAAAACGACACAGCTCATGGAATAACCGAGAATCAGATTCATCCAAGCGCTGTCACCTGGCAGTTCACCTGGGGAGGTTATACGAAATGCGTCGAGCTGATGTTTGTTTGTACAGTGTGGGCTTAGTCTGAGAACACGAGGCTTTTATAAAATAATACTTTGGAGATGTGATATTGCGTTGATATAAGGCAAAGTCCTAGCAAACTATATAAATGGTGGTGGAAAGCAATGCTCCCTCTAAGCTGTGAAGTCCTATGAGCAAAAATTCTACTCTGTGAGTTGCTGGCATGAAAGTTGGGAGCGAGCCATTTGGCTGCTGCATAAATTGGCATGCTCTGGAGCCCTCCTTCCTGGGCTGAGACAAAAAATGTGTGAGCCGGAGGCTAAAAAACTGTGAGCTGGCTCACACTGACTCAGCTTAGAGGGAACACTGGTGGAAAGTGCTGTCAAGTCACAGCTGACTTATGGAGACCCCTCTTGGGGTTTACAAGGCAAGAGACATTCAGAGGTGGTTAGGTTTGCCATTGCCTGCCGCCACATCATCACCCTGGTTTTCCTTGGAGGTCTCCCATCCAAATACTAGCCGAGGGCCGACCCTGCTTAGCATCCAAGATCTGAGAAGATCAGGCTAGCCTCGGCTCTCCAAGTCAGGGCCAAAAACAACTGCTATAAATATCAGCTGTTAATTTTGATATTTAGCTCAGTGCCACCGGCCAGCGATGTAAAGCTTGTTTCAAACCCATTAGCATTGATGGCTGCAGTCCAACTGCTTCTTGCACGAACAGAGAGCATTTCAGTGACACAAGAGGAGGTTCCCACTCACTTGGCCCTAAGGGGTGGCTTTTCAGGGCAACGGCACTGAAGCAGGAAGGAGGGGACAAGAAAGCCTTGTTCCACTTGCACTTCGTTGGATCCAACACACTGGGCTAACTTTGTGTCGGACCGTCACCTCTCAGTTTTTGTTACACTCATTCCGAGAATATAATATTAGTATTTTAAGATACTGGGGTGGAAAGCAGCATGATTTAGCTCACTCGTCAGATATTGGAGGCTAAGCAGGGTTGGTACTTAGATGGAAGCAGAGCTTTTTTTTCTGGGGAAACGCGCCGGAATGGAGTTCCGGAACCTCTTCGACAAAATTCTTTTAAAAGTTCGTGAGTTTTCAGTATACAGATTGAAAACTTCATTTCCCTCTTGAGAGTTCTGGCACCTCTTTTTCCTATTAATTAAAAAAAAGAAAGAAAGCCCTGGATGGGAGACCACCAAGGAAGGGTTTGCAGAGGAAGGCCGTGGCAAAGCACCTCTCCTTCTCCCTTGCCTTGAAAGCCCCTTGCTGGGATTGCCATAAATTGGCTGCAACTTGATGGCACTTTATACACACATTTTCAGAGACTAGGCAATACTTTGGGTTGAGTTTTGTTCTATTTCTTTTAAATGGTAGGGTATTGTAAACAGATCAGCCAATATCATAATGCCGCTTTATAAATCAATGGTGCGACCTCATCTGGAATACTGTGTGCAGTTCTGGTCACCACACCTTAAAAAGGATATTATAGCTTTGGAAAAAGTGCAGAAAAGAGCAACTAGAATGATAAAAGGGTTGGAACACTTTCCCTATGAGGAACGGTTAAAGCGCTTAGGGCTCTTTAGCTTGGAGAAACGACGACTGAGGGGTGACATGATTGAGGTTTATAAGATTATGCATGGGAAAGAGCAGGTAGAGAAAGAGGTACTTTTCTCCCTTTCTCACAATACAAGAACCCGTGGGCACTCCATGAAATTGCTGAGCGGTCGGGTTAGAACGGATAAAAGGAAGTACTTCTTCACCCAAAGAGTGATTAACACTTGGAATTCACTGCCACAGGAAGTGGTGGCAGCTACAAGCATGGATGGCTTCAAAAGGGAATTAGATAAGCATATGGAGCAGAGGTCCATCAGTGGCTATTAGCCACAAGGTATAGATAGGGACTCTGGGGCAAGTGATGCTCTGTCTTCTTGGTGCTTGGGGGGGGGGTCAACAGTGGGAGGGCTTCTAATGTCCTGGCCCCACTGGTGGACCTCCTGATGGCACTGGTATTTCTAGCCACTGTGGGATACAGAGTGTTGGACTGGATGGGCCTTTGGCCTGATCCAACATTGGCATCTCTTATGTTCTTATGTTTTGTTAACTAAAAATATCTGAATCAAAATTAAACACAGAGAAAAAATTTCACTTAAGTCGGACAGTGATGATTTGCTTGGCTATACGAAGATGAGTAGGAAAACATCAGAGTTATCAAAATAATTACATTATTGTGATAATATGCCCAGTTTCATTTTACATTCAGGTTCTCTCAGTCAGCAATTAAGAGGGGCTCAAGTCTCAGCAGCAGCATTAAGACCCACATATCGCAATGCACACTTGCTCATTTCTTTCACCCTACCCTGCTGAAAAATTATTGCCATACGCCACTTCCTTGAGTGATTTACCTTCAACTTGACTTGCTCAATAAATTCAAAGCACTCGGGAAAATAAGACAAAATGTCAGTCTCGGGCAGATCGAGGATAGGAATGGTCTTGCATGTGAAGTCATCGGGGAAGGCGTTTTCAACTCCATAGGCGACATTTAGAATGTGGGTAACCTAAAATACAGAAGAGCGATCATCAGGAATGTAAGCTGCTTCTAAAGTCTCCAAAATTTGACATGGCTGTGGATCTCCATCCCTCAGGGAGAAATCTGTCATAAATAATATTAATAATAATAATAATAATAATTGTCACAGTCAGATATTTGACTGGTAGGTGGTGTTCTGCAATTCGAGATCTATCCAAATTCTTGGGAATTCCAGATGTATCTTCACAGGATTCTTGGTCTTCCAAGCAACACTGCCTTCTGGAGCTGAGCTGGTGTTATTTACGTGATGATGGTGGTGGTGGTGGTGGTGGTGGGTAGACATCTTGGTCTCAAGCAGCAGAAAAAAGTTCAAGTCCAGTGGGACCTCTTAAGACCGGCAAAGTTTTATTCAAGGTATATGCTTTTCTGTGCATGCACATGAAAGTGTGTACCTTGATTAAATCTTTGTTGGTCTTAAACATGCCACTGGGCATGAACTTTTTTCTATTACTATTATTATTATTAGTGCATTTTATACTACCCATCTTCCACATGAGCTTAAATTAAATACTTTTCAGTAACTATTAATATAGTATGCTATATTCATTACATAATGTGAAGTAGTGAAGACAAAGATGCAGAGAAGAACAGCCCAACTGAACCTGCACTTAGTTTTCCAGAGGAGGGATTGACACCCCTGCTCCAAAGATATTACAAGAATAAATCCGTCGTATTTTAGCAGAACTTATTCCATGCACTACAGTCTGCAACGCCATTCAATAATGACCCAACTGTTTTTGGAGGGGACCGTCAAGCCTTTTGAAATGTTCAATATATGCTGAACCCGAGAAAGTTCTATAGCATTATTTCTCATTACCCTGTATTTTTTCATGGTCTCCAGGTCATGGGCAGCATCCTGTGATCCTGTGAGGGCAGAAGACACATCATCTCACTGTTTGGGAAAGGCAGGACATGCAGACATCAAGACCACCCAGTCTCTTATAGAGAGAGGGGATTGACAGGAAGCAGAGGCACACAATAAACACTCAGTAGTTAGAATCATAGAATCAGAGAGTTGGAAGGGGCCATCTAGTCCAACCCCCTGCTCAATGCAGGATCAGCCTAGAGAGCATCCCTGACAAGTGTTTATCCAGCCGCTGCTTAAAAACTGCCAGAGAGGGGGAGCTCACCACCTTCCTAGGCAGCTGATTCCACTGTTGTACAACTCCTACTGCCAAAATGTTTTTCCTTAGATCCAGCCGGTACCTTCCCGCCCTTAATCTAAACCCTTTATTCCGAGTCTTCTCCTCTGCTGCCAACAGGAACAGCTCCCTGCGCCTCCTCCAAGTGACAGCCCTTCAGATACTTCAAGAAAGCCATCATGTCCCCCCTCAACCTCCTCTTCTCCAGATTAAACATTCCCAAATCCCTCCGCCTGTCCTCACAGGGCTTGGTCTCCAGGCCCCCGATCATCCTCATTGCTCTCCTCTGCACCCGCTCCATTCTGTCCTCATCCTTTATAGAATAGTTAGAAGTAATGCTAATGGTATATTTGACAGCATACAATTACAGAAAGAAGATGTACCCTTCCACCTCTCGAAGCCCATAAAAGATACATTAGTGCAGTTTTGGATTTTTTGTTTAAAAAAACATACACATGCCCCATTTCTTTGGCTCCAACCTGCATATTACTCACCCAGCAAGAGCCATGGTTTCACGACACCCACTTGCAGATCCAAGCTCAGGTCCTGTACGTAACCACAGGACTCTCCGTCGTTCAGATCAGCGGCTTCGACCACCTGCATGCGGGCATCCTTCCACGTCTCTATAATCCTCTTCCCTGATAAAGTGGTGACTCGGGTACATTGCTTCCTTAAATTAGTCCTGGAGAAGGCTCTGATCTCTTGAGTGAGTGAGTGCATTACATGAGCAAGGAAACCTTCAAGCTAATAGCAAAAAAGGGCGGGGAGGCTGGGGAGAGAGCTTACGTGCCTGTATGACTACTTTCTCTCTGTGGGTGTAGCATCCCCAGTGAGTGCGGTGAACACAGTAGTGCCCCCCCCCTCCTCTGCAGAGTCTGCAAACGGCAGCAGGCAAAAAGAGAAACCTTCCAGTCTATTTAGCTTCCTGTGCCTGAGGTCCTTGTGTAAGGCAGCTTTTCATTGGCCTCTGCGATCGGTTTCCTGATTGGTTAAAGAATCCCTTTCTGTCAAGTAGCATTGAGCCTCTGGCACGGATGAAATGACACATGAGCACATGCCTGGGTACGCTCACTCTTTTGGGGTTTTTTCACCTCCCTGTCAAATTGACGTGTTCAAAAGGGAGGGAGGGAATAGTTATTAAATGATAAGACAGCAAAAAGAATCCTTAGTAAAGCAGAGACAAAATCGTAATAGCTGAGCATAATACAGAAATAATGAGAAGAAGGGACTATGAAGAAACACCCACAAATCTAAATAAACTTTTATACAAAAAATTATGATAAATCAGTTTTTGTTAATCAGGTGTGTAAAATAATTAGCTTACAAGCGGAGAAGCTGCAAGGACTTGTGGGGGCCATTTCCCCCATATCCCCTTCCCCATACTATTTCCTTTTCTGTAGAAAATTTCTGGCGTGATCTGGTCCATGGGGTCGCGAAGAGTTGGACTCAACTGTACGACTGAACAACAACAACAAGAAGTGAGCAGTGTCTCACAAAAGCTCCACTTATTTTTTGTTAGTCTTTAAGGTGCTACTTAGAGAGACAGATTAATCTGTTGTGATACTTCCAGAATGCAGAGATGATTGAACAAGCAGGCTAGATTTGCCTGTTTCACGCTTTGTTTCCAGCAGTACTAGAATTTGAAAAACACACATCAAAAAGAATTCCAGCAGTCCAGTAGATCTATCAGAGCTTCTTCTTGTTGTTTTTCCTGTTGTTGTTGCACCCACTGGTGTCCAGTGACCTGCGTAACCGATCTACTTATTTGTGCTCTATTGTGCTCCTGTTATCTCAAGCCTAGTTCTGCCACCCCCTTGAGTCTCAGATGATTCAGATCTGCTGCATTATCAGTTAACGTGGCTTAATGTAATATAATCGCAGCGTCTCGATGAATCCAAGACGATTAGGGATATCAGGCACTTCAGAAGCCTCCAGCTCAAAACTTCCTTTTCAAGCAGTGAAGAAACTGTCTGGGTTTGCCATTTTTGGCAGAGGGTGATTTATATATAGTTTGCTGTTTATTATAAATGAAGGATTCGGGTGGTAGTAGAAACTGCCGTCAAATCACAGCCAACTTACAGCAACCCTGCGGAGTATTCAAGGCAAGAGACGTTCAGAGGTGGTTTGCCATTGCCTGCCTCTGTGTAGCAACCCCGGACGTCCTTGCCGGTCTCCCATCTAAATACTAACCAGGGCCTGCTTAGCTTCTGGTGAGATCTGGCTAGTCTGGGCCGTCCAGGCCAGGGCAAAGAATTCTCGTAAAAGGGAAAGTGAGTATATTGCAGTTTCTGCCCAGTCGTGCCATAGAATTTTTGCTGCCTGACCTTGCTTCTAGGGCTGACCCAAATATAGCACTGGAGGGCACCGTCATGCCCATGATGTATCTCCTGGTGCCCACTCATTTGTTGTCATTGGTTCTAACAGGTGTGAAGTGAGACACCAAAACTGTCAGCTTAGCCAGGTAGTGATACAGTAGGGTTGCCAGCTTCAGCTTGGGAAATACCTGGAGGTTCTGGGGGTGGAGCCTGAGGAAGGTGGGGTTTGGGGCATAATGCCACAGAGTCCAATTTCCAAAGTGGCCATTTTTTCCAGGTGAGCTGATCTCTATCAGCTGGAGAACAGTTGTAATAGCGGGAGATTTCCACCCACCACCTGGAGGTTGGCAACCCTTTGATACAGGTTGGGCAGAGCTCTTGATAGAAGGGACGGGGCGACTTATCCATTAGGCACAGTAAGCACAGTAGGCCTAGGGCCCACGATACATTTAGGGGCCCATGAAAATGTTTTAATTTAATTGGTGTAGTGGTTAAGTGCGCAGACTCTAATCTGGGAGAGCTGGGTTTGATTCCCCACTCCTCCACTTGCAGCTGCTGGATGACCTTGGGCAAGCCATAGTTCTGTCAGAGCTGTTCTTGAAAAAGAACAGTTTCTCTCAGTGCTCTGTCAGCCCCACCTACCTCACAGGGTGTCTGTTGTGGGGAGGGGAAGGGAAAGGAGTTTGTAAACCGCTCTGAGACTCCGAGTAAAGGGCAGGGTATAAATCCAATCTCTTCTTCTTCTTCATGCTGCATTCACAGAATGTATTTTTTTAAAAAAAATGCCTAATGCAGTTCTGACTGCAGCCACTAGGGGCAGAGGAAAGGCAGTGCCTTTCTGCACACTTTGCTACAAGGATGAGAGAAACCATTTGGTTTATATAATGATCTTGTCTGTTCATATTGCCACCTCCTCAACAATTGCAGAAAGTGTGCATGCCCAGGAAAGCTTAGACCCAGAATTAAACTTTGTTGGTCTTAAAGATGCCACTGGACTCAGACTTTGTTCTGTTGCTTCTGACCAACACCATATCAATTGGCTTTTAAGACTTTTTTTTTTTTAAGGTCTGGTAAAAAGGGAAAAACTTAAGATTTTTTTGCTGCGGATCTATAATTTTTTCCTTTCCTGGCTTTGATAGAACTGATATGATCACATTGTACGTGGAGTCAGTGAGCCGAGTAAGATTTTCTGTAGGTCTGTTTTTTAAATGTACTTATTTAATTCATTTATACCCCACTTTTCAACCCAATGGGGACCCAAATCGGCTTACGTCATTCTCCTCGCCTCCATTTTATCCTCACAACAACCCTATGAGGTAGGTTAGGCTGGCCCAAGGTCACCCAGCAAGCTTCCATGGCATGAGTAGGTGTTCAAACCTGGATCTTGTAAATACTAGTCTGACACTGTTAATCACTACACCACACTGACTCTGTAACAGCTCATGTAAGAGAAGGTCTTGGAGGTCTTTATACTACTCCTCACAGTATCTACCTGTTAAGTTGCTCGCTTAACAAAGTAGTTGGAGAGTGATTCAGCAAAGGTTCAACTTTATTCAACTCGAACATAACTCCAACACGGATCAACATCTGATAGCCAGAACAGCTTTTACATTGCAGCTGTTCTGCTTTTAAACTCTCCCGGCTAATGTAGCCACGCCTACTGTACATTTACCAACCAATAAAGTTGTATGCATAAGGACCAATCACGGACGTTCCCGCTCAGGGAGCTTGCTGACAAGTGATTGGTTGGTTCTTCCTGGGCTATCAATGTGATTGGATGGATTTGGATCCTAGCCCAGGACGAAGCTTAACATTGTACTTCAGTTAGATGATTCATGTATTGCAATGGCAGCTATTGAATACATTACACTACCCAGGCCAGGAGTTTTCCCATTTTTTTTTAATTGCTCAATTTCTTTTTGGATTTCAGAATATGTAATGGGAGTAGCCAGAGTGCCCTTCTGAGAGATCTAGAGAGACAACAGCTGCAGCCTACGATGCATCTAGGGATCCCTTAATGTGTTCTGATGAGGCATCTTGGTCTTGTTGGTGTAATTATGGTGAATAAAATGTATAAATCTGAGTATTTCCTGGTTCTGTATTGCATGGAGCTTATTGTGTTTCTTCTGCAGGGGGCACTTTGGCACTACTCCGTCATTCCTTTTCCGCAATCAGCTACATGTGGGATTAAAATGAGACGCTTCAAAATGGCAATAGAGAGTTATAGCCTCCATAATAATGCCAGTCCCTCAAGCAAGATTCTCTACTGTATATTTACTTGGACGTGAGTCTCAGCAGCCGCTCAGAATGTTTTCCCGTCTGAGGCTACTGCCACCAATGCTCCCCCCCGCGCCCCCGACTGCCTCCCCCCACGCAGGAGGCAGAGGAGATAACACGCCTTATCTCTTTGCTGTTCCCAAGCCCTTCACAGTCTTTTAAGGTGCCCCAAGATTCCTGTTTATTTTTGCAACCACAAAACAACCATGAAACCAGCGACCCCTTCTGGAATTACTATCTCACAAGATTTAGTTATCTCGTAAGAGAACTGGGCCATCATTCGGATTAAAGGTAAAGGTAAAGGTTTCCCTTGCTCAAAAGCCAGTCAAATCTGACTCTAGGGGTGCAGTGCTCATCTCCGTTTCCAAGCCAGAGCCAGCCAGCGCTGTCTGAAGACTTCTCCGTGGTCATGTGGCCAGCGTGACTAGACGCCAAGGCGCATGGATTGCCGTGGTTTTATTCAGGTTGTGCTGAAAGGGCAGCTGGACTCTTGCCAAAAGGAGGAATCTTGCCAGAGTTTGGAATCGGGCACGGTTGGCTTGTCCTGCTGCTTTTAGAGTGGCAAAGTGAAGCGTGGAAGGAAGGGGGATTTTCTGTTCCAGTTCCTGGGCAGAAGGTTCAGCTAGGCAGGCAGGAAGCCAGTCACCTGGCTGGCAGGGCAGGCTCTTGTCACCCCCCAAAATATGCCACCTGAGGCCTTCTTAAGTCCAATTTTCCAACAGCACCATTCATTCCTATTTCCACCCTTTAATTAATGATGTCCCATTCACTAGCAAAAGCCGTAGCTCACCTGAAGCCATCTTTAAAAACGTTCTGGTCGGACAAGGGGGGTTAATGACTACTTTGCAGCCGAAGTGACTGCATTCTAGTTTTCTTTCTTTTTTTTAATTATCATGACAGCATGTTAATCAAATTCAAATGATAAAAAAAATAAAATGCAAGCGATAACTTTGATAGAAAGAAGGAAACCAATAATTAGTAGCTCCACACTTTCCCCCAATCAAGAAGTGATGAAGGATCGCGGCAGGAATGAACGGGAGGTTATTAACTAAGCTGAGAAACTGGGGGGGAGGGAATAAAATTTACAGGGACGATAGGCCTTTTTTTGCCATCAAGTCACAGCTGATTTATGGCAACCCCGTAGAGTATTCAAAGCAAGAGACGTTCGGAGTTGGTTTGCAGTTGCCTGCCTCTGGGTTGCACCCCTGGTTTTCCTTGACAGTCTCCCATCCCAATATTAACCATGTATTACACTGCTTAGCTTCCAAGATTCGTTGAGATCAGGCTAGCCTGGCCTATCCAGAGCAGGGCACAATAGACCTAA